TATCGCGTACTCGACCTTGATTTGGATACCCTCCGTCGTTTGAAGTACATAAACGACATTCCGGCTGCGACGAGTATGAATATAAAGGCCAGCGATATTGACACGGAGATCAATATTACCAATGGTACCGGCAAGAAGTCTATTGGACAAATTAAAAAAAAGATTAACGTGTGAGCACGGATAAACATTGAATTATCTCATCGGCGTTTAACCAGAAACCTACTCTTTCCATTCAAAAAGCCTGGAGAGATTGGCGCAAAAATGCTGAATATCTTTCCCAGTGTTCCACCTCCTGCGGAAATCAAGTAGGGGTACAATGTACTGCCATCATATAATGCGGCGCTCACGTTGCCATATGAAGTCAGCGCCAAGTCGCCGGCTATAAGTAGCAGCCAGCTGGCGTCGAGAATATCTGACGATCCATGTTGGCTTTCGGCCGGTACCAGCGACAATTGGCTGATAATTGAATTTTTCAGAAGACCTTGACTTATGTCTCGAAATTTATTTCCATCCCACTTGCGCAGGTATACTGCATTATCACTCCTGCCATAGCCGGCAACGAAAAATTGGCCGTTTTTCTTAAAATCATTTAGCACCACGGTCGCAGGGCCAGGGAGTTGATTGCTTCCATTACCAGGGGACGCCATTTCTTGCCAAACGGATTTTGTGAAATCATATTGTGCTAGGTATACGAGGGTTTTACCAAATGTTAAATTTCCGGCAGCCATCAGTATGTTCTGATTTTGGTCTGTCTATTCAGAGCATTAGAAGAAAATCAAGTCAATATTTGATGCCACATTGATGACACCAATTGTATCTTGGGCAAGTAGCAATGGTTAATTATATGACCTACCCCTATGAAATCAATCGACAAAATCTCACCCGAGACATTATTATTGGAAAGGGGACTCCATCGTTGATTACCGGAAATCCACAGACAGACCGATTCACAATACAAAGATCCGGCCTGATCAAATTTGCCCGCTACCACTATGTTATCGGTTCCACCGCGATTTTTTATCGAGTTCACACGAATCTGATTATCGCTGGCTATCAGGAATGAAACACAGAATAATTAGAGACGAGGAAGGTGAATGAACAAATGATGTGTCGTCATAGTCAAATATGTGAAACCAGTTATTTACCAGATAATGGTAGTGTATTGACCGTTTTAAAATCCGAAAGAGTGAAGACGGCGAACGCCTGATCCTTACTCGAATTAACCGAACTCCCAACATACAAAATATTATCATACACCGTGAGCGCTCTGACCTCTATCACATTACCAACCGACACCGCATTCCACGCATTGTTTTTCAATATTCCAATATTATTTAAATTGTCAAATTGAAATTTTCCACCGATTATCTGATACGTTTGGGTCGGATCCGTGCATGCAGCATTTATGATTACCTCGGAAGCATTGGATTGAGGATATATGGGCAATGGTGAAATTCCGGATGACGTTATCAGAATCCCGCTAAATGCTTCAAAGGAAAGTGCGGAAATGATATTTCCACCCCAGAAACTTATGACAGTTTGGTTGTTTGGCAGAGAGTAAGGAACCACGTCACCTACCAAACCTTCCACGAAAACAGTTGAGACCCAATTTTCGATGCTGTCGTCCCATACCGCGTGGCCAAATGTGACATTCCCGAAGGTTGCATTCTGGGCGACAGCCTGTTGCGATATCAATGTATTAAATCTACCGACAACATGAACTCTGCTCGAATTAAACTCATTCACCGGGGCCAGACGTGTCACTTCGCCGTTCACGCCTTCACCCGCTGCGCGCCACGACCTTTTTTCAATGTTATATATTGCGAGGTTGTTGAATCCGGTGGCATCATTGCTTGCCGTGCTATTGAACAATCCGCCGACCATCAAGTCATTACCCACTTGAAGCACTACATTGACTTGCCCATTGAGACCTCCGCTGGGGAGAGAGGTGAAGCTGGACCCATCATATTGAACGATGTTGGAGAATGTCTCGTTTTCAAATTTACCGCCTATAATGATCTCCGAAGATGATATGACCGCTATGTCTGATACGTTTGCCCCGGGTGCCAATTTTCCGTGAAGTCCGTACCATGAGGCTTGCACACCTGATGATGCCGGCGTGTACTGGAGTAGACCGCTCAGGGAATTATTACTGATGTTGGTGGGTTTGAATAACACGCGGTCAACGTATATCACGGCGTCACCACCATCCGCAGGTGGTTTTGCCGTTTTGGACACGGTGATCTCGACCCGCGGCTGAAAGGCGGCGGAGGTGGCAACTACGAACCCGCTATAAATGGCATCTTCATGATACTCCTCTGTATAATTCTCCGTTATGGTGAAGGTGATGGACACATTGGGCATCACGATTAGCTTGACATCGATGGATGTGGTGGAAGAACAACCGATGGGTAAACAGCTGGGAGTGAAGAGGGTAACGTTATAGTAGCCGGATTCAGGAATGTATGGAATCAGGGTCAGTTCCGCGGTGGAGCTTGTGAGTTGTGACGAAGGAATGGTGGTCATCATCACATATTCCCATATTCCGGACAATAACCGGGAAGTCCAGTTTCCCACAGTTTTTACTGCTGGGGAAAATGGGATGCTTGAACAACTTGGAAAGCCAAGATTATCAGCGGCACGCACAACGATATCTGATGATTTCAAAGGAATCATAGCATGCATAATTATTAGGGAGTTGCGAAAAGATTGATTCGTGTTCAACATGCATCAAATGAAATGACTTGCCGGTTTGAAATAGTTGAATGCCGTGAAGTCCACCTCCCTCACCGTACCATTCCAGTATGTCAATTTCGAATCCGGTTAAATTCACGGGTTGATTGAAATAATAAATTTGGAAGACCTGATTATTTGGATCCAAGGTACAGATATTCGAACAATTTGTTATCTCTCCGGTTGTAGCGTTAGCATAGACCAGTGTCAAGACGCTTTGATCGGGCGAAGACACTAATCTATTATCAATGAGGAAATTAAGTAAAGTAACAAGAAACGCAACACCTCCGCAACCGTTTATTCGTACACCGATTTACCTGAAAGATTTGGTCCCTCTCCCTTGGTAATTAGTGTTTCTAATGGAGATCGCCGTGGGCGACAAACTAGTATTGAACGCCACTCTCCAGAACCCGGGCATATTATCCTGCAACAACCATGTATTGCTCGGACCATCAAGATCGCCGCCGCATACTATCGCCGATGGATCGCTCAGGTTGGTCAGCGTTGTGGAACTGCCACCCAAGAACTATTATAGAATTTTTTTTTTTTTTTTTTTTTTTTTTTTTCAGAAACGAGTCAAGGGAAACGCAAAAACGACGGACGCATATAATCAATCAACGTGATACTGACCGTGGCATTCTTTATATTAATTGGTTGTGTGTTGTTCGACACTCCAAAGGAACCATCCCCCGTGGCAGTGAATCTTCCTCCGAAATAAATCGTTCCGTTTTGTTCGTTGTATGCGATGGTATACACGGGTCCATTGAGTCCTTTGAACGGTAATGTGTTCCACCTTCCCCCTTGCCACAAGGCCACACTCCCGCCGAATGACGTCGTGTTGATACCATACGC